ACAAGCCGAAATTTCCTCCGACTCTCCGACTCCGACTCCACAGCCCTGCTTTAGATTAGATAAGGTCAGGTTAGGTTAGGGTGATTAATCTTCAGGTGATATAAACTGAGTTAAAATCTCCTTTCTATTTTATACAGGTGTTTTTAAGTTAGGTTTGGCATCTGTTAATTAGTTATCACTACAGATGCCGAAGTTGAGGTATGTAATTGATTAAGTAAAGGTTTAGTTACAGTGTCCAGGCCACACTTTGTTTAATTATGTATTTCCGTCTAAGGTATTTTTCAGGTGATCCCTCGGTAAATGGATATATTATGTCATTATCATCATCATCATCAGTCAGCATGTAAATAATATATAATAATAATAAACGGTTTATTAATGGAGCGCAGCCGGTGGCTGAAAATATACTGACTTACATTTGATTTAGACATAATGATATAATATGCGTTGAATACATTTACAGGGCTGTACAGTACATAAATCAGGAGTTGTTAATTATTTTAACAATAGATGGGATGGTGCTGTTCTTATATCTATCGGTGCGGGCTCTTATGGGCTGGATTTTGTAGTAGTGGCAGACTGCGCGGAGGTGTGTGTGTGTGTGTGTGTGTGTGTGTGTGTGTGTGTGTGTGTCACGCTAAATAAGAACAATCACCGATTAGGCTTTAAAAGGCAATTGACATTTTTACACAAAATAGGGACAACAGTTTTTTGTATTGTTACATCTTAATGACATATATATATATATATATATATATATATATATATATATATATATATATATATATATATATATATATATATATATATATATATATATATATATATATAGACTAAAATACAACACTGCTGCGGAGAGAAACAATATCAGCATCGTAAAAATTTACATTACCCATATGGCTGATAAAGTCTACGGACATCGCGCCCCACGTTTCACTATCTCCACTATATTGTCTTATGGACGATTCGTGTTTGTGTGTGTGTGTGTAGTACCTTTATATATATATATATATATATATATATATATATATATATATATATATATATATATATATATATATATATATATTATTAATATATATATATATATATATATATATATATATATATATATATATATATATATATATATATATATATATATATATATATATATATATCTTATCATCGCCTTTATATCCCAGAATTCCCAGCATATGGCTACACGCCTCAGCATATATTAGTATTATCGGCATATCTTAGTACATATCTCACAGTTACCAAACATGACATTGCGATTCATTATGGCGTGAGCTGTTTATTCTTGTTGACTAGATACGTGAACATCATTTATATTTAGTCTACTCGTTAGCTCTTTAGTCAGTAATTAGTGTTCTTGTATTTCATGTTCTTGCGTTTACAGAATGGTGCGGGCGTGTACGTGGGCTGTATTACTGGGCGTGGTGGTGGTCATGGGCGTGGTATCTGCTGCGGGTGAGGGCCAGGACACCCCTCAGGACAGGGAGAGGCGGGCGCCCTCTGGCTTCCTAGGCATGAGAGGCAAGAAGGACGCATCCACAGCCCTCGATGACAACACCGCCGCCAGCGAATACTCATCCCTGCCAGACCCATACCCACTCTACGGCCTCAGGGACAACAATCTCCCTATGCTCTTCGCTGTCCCCTGGAAAAGTGAGTACCGACCCCGCCTGCCTTACACCCAGCCTGCCTTACACCCAGCCTACCTCACACCCAGCCTACCTCACACCCAACCTGCCTCACACCCAACCTCTGCCTCACACCAGCCTCACACCCAACCTGCCTCACACCCAGCCTACCTCACACCCAACCTGCCCACACCCAGCCTACCTCACACCCAACCTGCCCTCACACCCAGCCTACTCCTCACACCAGCCTACCCACACACCCAACCTGCCTCATACCCAGCCTACCTCACACCCAACCTGCCCTCATACCCAGCCTACCTCACACCCAACCTGCCTCCACACCCAGCCTACCTCACACCCAACCTGCCTCATACCCAGCCTACTCACACCCAGCCTGCCTTACACCCAGCCTACCTCACACCCAGCCTACTCACACCCAGCCTGCCTTACACCCAGCCTACCTCACACCCAGCCTACCTCACACCCAACCTGCCTCACACCCAACCTGCCTCACACCCAGCCTACCTCACACCCAACCTGCCTCACACCCAGCCTATACCCAGCCCCACCTCACACCCAGCCTACCTCACACCCAGCCTGATGCCCAGCCTCCTCCACACCCAGCCTCCTCACCCAGCCTACCTCACACCCAGCCTGCCTCACACCCAGCCTACCTCACACCCAACCTGCCTCCCCCAGCCTACCTCACCCAGCCTGCCTTACATCCACACCCAGCCTACCTCCACACCCAGCCTGCCTCACACCCAGCCTACCTCACACTGCCTCACACCCAGCCTGCCTCACCCAGCCCACACCCAGCCTCACACCCAGCCTGCCTCCACCCAGCCTGCCTCACACCCAGCCTACCTCACACCTGCCTCAGCCTACCTCACACCCAGCCTGCCTCACACCCAGCCTGCCTCACACCCAGCCTACCTCACACCCAGCCTACCTCACCCCAGCCTACCTCACCCAGCCTACCCAGCCTACCTCACACCCCCCTGCCTGCTTCACACCCCCTGCTTCACACCCAGCCCACCCCACCTATAGCCTACCTCACACCAGCCTGCCTCATGCCCAGCCTGCCTCACACCAGCCTGCCTCACCCAGCCTACCTCACACCCAGCCTACCTCACCACCCCAGCCTCACCCCACACCCAGCCTCACCTGCACCCCCTACCTCACCACACCTCACACCCAGCCTCCCTCACAGCCTATCTCACGCCTAGCCTACCTCACACCAGCCTACCTCACCCAGCCTGCCTCACACCAGCCTACCTCACCCAGCCTACCTCAGCCTACCTCACACACCCAGCCTACCTCACACCCAGCCTACCTCACACCCAGCCTACCTCTACAGCCACACCCAGCCTACACTACACACCCAGCCTACCTCACACCCAGCCTGCCTGCCTCACCCAACCTGCCTCACCCAGCCTACCCCACACCACCCACTACCCTCACACCCAGCCTACCTCACACCCCGCCTGCTTCACACCCAACCTGCCTCATACCCAGCCTACCTCACACCCAACCTGCCTCATACCCAGCCTATCTCATACCCAGTCTACCTCACACCAAGCCTACCTCAACTGCTGTAGTGAGGGATGATATATCTGCCTCACACCCTCCTACCCTCGATCCAGTCCATGGTTTTCATAATTGAATTTCATCCCTTAACGTGACCTGACCCAGCCTTCGATAAGCACGACCTAACCTTAACAAAGCAACGAGGTAAATAAGATGGAGAGACGGGCACTTTGGGTTAGGTTAGGTTAGGTTAGGTTAGGTTAGGTTAGGTTAGGTTAGGTTAGGTTAGGTTTGGTTTGAGTCATTGTTTTTCCCGTGGTTGTGACGTGGCCTCCGTAAGTAAAACTAAAGGATCAAATTCGCCTTAAATCTCACACATGAGACACGATGATCTGATTGGATAGAGATATCAAAGCTTGACCAATCATCAAAGATTTATGGATGTCTCTGAAGCCTTCAACGCTACTGGTGTAAAATATAACACTGCAAAGACCATCTATTAAATAATGAAATATTTAAAACAGCAACATAAGTGAACGTTCAAGTGTACTTCAGTGTGAGTACAAGTAAGACTCTTGGCTTTTATTCTTACAACTTTTTTAGCTATTTTTTCCTACTTACCTGGTCAAACCACTTGCTCGAAACTTTTTTGAGCTGGTGCACACGTACGAGTGCTTTTTACATCTTGAACTGAGTTAACCTTGTGTATATACTTAATAATATAACCCGGAGTTAGTCTGGTGTGTGTATATTCTTAATAACATAACCCGTACACAGGGAGTTAGTAGACTAGCTCCACTAATGAGGGTACTGGGGCCATTATTAGATACATCCCCTGTTCTTGATACAAACTCAGACTCTCTGACTTTATTGTTTTGGTTCTCGGTCTGAGGACGTGTGAGTGTGGTGGTCTTCTGGGGGAGGCAGTATTGAGGGGTACTGAACTCACCTGACGTGGGTCGACACAGGTAGTCTCCGTTGAACCGCCTCACTGTTTAGGTAACTGGACTAGACAGACAATCTATACAGTTCATGAAGTATTGACAAATAGATAGACATAAATAGATAAGTAGAGATATGTATGATAAATATAGTTAGTTAGGTAGGAAGGTAAATAGATGTGGATGTACCGTAAGAGTGTCACTACAAGCAGGAGGATGGTGGACATACGTCTGGCATGGTGGGGTGAATAGGGATGCCAGCCACTACTACTGTTTACCTTTTTGGCACTAGGGCAGTTATCGTACCGGACACCCAGTCTCAGTTTTTTTGGGCTGCATGGGGTCCGTTCATCAGTATCTTCACTCAATTTTCCACCTTTACTGACCTATCTGATTATGTTTTCGCTCGTGAGGGATCCTTTTTTTGTGTCAGGTGCAGCTTAAGGCATCTAATGATCAGTTCTTCGCCATGCTTTCGTTAGTGGTAGTGTATCTCTCAGTCATAATATATTCCCAAACATTGTCAACACCTCCTAATACTGAAGTATCTTGTTGAAAGTTTTATGTGTGTGTGTGTGTCAAGTATTAGGGTAAAAGGTTTGTTATGTCGTCAAGTTTAAACTGGTTTGGCCTAGAATTCAGAGTCGTGCTAGAGAGGCCTGGGTAGCGTGGGTACCCAGAAGTTCTACACAACACCGCCAACTCTGTTAATATTGAGGCCAATGTGCTGTCTGATGCCAAGCCAAAAATTTCTGGCAGAAAATATTTGACACTGGCACTGATAAGGTAGACAGATGGAAGGCATTATCTAGCCTCAACGCTAAAGAAAAAACTTAATTTTTTTTTCAGTTATCAGGTTCATTATTGCGATATTTGGTAATAATATTTAAGCAATAATGTGTCGTGTCTCAATGTTGGTACAGTATAAAGCAGGCGGCGGTGCGTGATAAATCTTACACTCCAATTAGAATCATTAACGTACATTCTTCTACAAGTTGCTAGTTTACTGATTAAAAAAAACTCCACTTGAGTTAATTATACACAAGACTGTTGGGAAAAATTGAAACACAAAGGCATAATTCACGGGTCACGCCACTCGGTCTACAACACACCAGCGTAATTAATATCCCCACGAATTATTGCAAGTGTGAATGAGATGAATAAACATATGTTCTTAACCACCATTCACATAGCAATATTCATCACCTTCATTCATTATGTCGCATCAGCCAAAATTAGAAATTCTGAGTGATATATTATTCGTGTTGTATAGATTCAGATTTGCCCCCGAGGGGGCTAGTTTATTGGGCACCCCCTTACATCCTGTGCAAGGTGAAGCGCAGAAGCGTTTACAGCGCCCAACAGGGAAGTATGAAAAGTTCATACTTGCCTTTATGACTCGTACATTAAGGGCGTAAAAGCCTGAAGGGTCATAAGTTTTGTCAAGTTACATAAAGTGAGAGAATGATGAGTGTGTGGGGGGAAAGTTCCCGGTACATTTTATCTGTTTATGGCAAAGAGTGGCAGGGCCCTAATAATGTCAAATGCCAGGCCTGTGACTAGGAGGAGGGATATCTGGTCTGGGAGGGAAGAGGTGTTGGTAACGGCTGGGGACCTATAGGAGGAGGTCATAGGGCAAGTTTGTGTTGTATATATCAAGGAAGATATCGTGATTTCCCAGAGGTAGTGGTGGTGATGGAGGTGGTTGTCCCGCCACCCGCCAGATGTCTCTACTTACCGGTGAGTGTTGTCGCCCTCTGTTCAATCAGCGGCTATACACGGGCTCCAAGACTTATCCTTGTACATATTCAGCGTCGCTTTGTGAGCTTCATCAAACTCTGGAGCCTTTCCTTCACGTCAACAATCTGTACTTCTATTTCATATACGCTGTAACTGACGTCATGTCAACTCTTAATGCCGCCATCAGTCATATGCTGTAAGGTTTCCTGCAGTTTCGTTTAGGATTATACCAGTTTTGTTTCAACAAATCAAACGTTATTGATTCCCCTGGTTGCAAATTATTCCTTGACGTCCGAGTTCTTGGGAAAGTCACTGTCAGTCAAAATTTCGTGTAAAAAGAGAAAAAAGACAGGCGGTCATCTAGTCCCTACTAGTTAGAGATTATAATAGTATATACAGGAAGAACACCGCAGCCGGGAGTTCCTCAGAGCGCTGATGTATTTTGACAGGCGGGAAGACTTAGTAAATTAGACTCTGGGGGCTGTATAGAGATGGTATAAATATGGTTACCGGGAGAATGTCACAGCACGGACCTCACACAGCCCACAAGAGGTCGTGTTGGGACGTGAGGCCGTGAATAGACAAGAGTTGGAAAGCATCCATCATGCAAAGTGTGGACCGTCCGTTTAATATTAACTACAGGTAAATTTCTTCATTATTATTTTAGTTAGTGGATAATGTCACGATATCGGAATTTAAACAACCAGAAACTTGGTTGTTAATGACCTTTGGTATAGGGTGGCTTATGCGTTACCTGTGTATTACCAGGATCATAATTATATTACCTGTGAAGATAAATTGTTAAGGAATAAAGGATTTAATCTTTTCCCGTATCTCAACCAACTTCCTGTCTTATAGCCAAGAAGGCTCCCTCTGGCTTCCTGGGAATGCGCGGGAAGAAGAGCGATGAAGAGGTGTTCAGTGACGCCACTGCCGACAACGACCTCGAGATCTTGCTGAAGCGCGCCCCATCTGGCTTCCTTGGCATGCGCGGCAAGAAGGCTCCCTCAGGTGGGTGTTATATGAAGACTTAGAAATTTGATTCACAAATATAAGGACAGGTGCAAATTCAGGCATAAGTTCATTACTACAGAAACTGTACAGTAAATCCCTGGGTTTGATACGCTATATATAGTAATATATAATAGAAGGGTCATAGAGGTTGTAAATAGGATCTGTTCATGGTTTAGGGGGACTTAAGGTCCTGTATTCACTCCATCCCTGGTAGATGAACATTATCGGTATCTGACACAGGTTTTTTTCCACAGGTTTCCTTGGAATGAGAGGCAAGAAGGCTCCCTCTGGTTTCCTGGGTATGAGGGGCAAGAAGTACTATGATGACGACAGCGACATGGACGCTTACATCCAGGTGGGCCATCGTCTCATCCACTTTCAGACCAATAACGTCAGCTGTTAGCACCTGAGAACTCTGATTACTTTTGTTCTTGTTGAATTCCCACAAGTGCCTGAACTTTTTGTCAAAGATATTTAATGATAGTTTGCCTATTAATTACCTTATTTATCTAATGATATAATACATTATAAATAAAGCTCTTACCAAATTTCTTCGCTGTAAAGATCAATATTAAATAAATTATAAAAGAATGAGAAGTAAATCAAGAAAACCTGAAAGGTGAGGGAGAAGTAACTGAAGGCAACAGAGGTGTGGAAGTTCCTAATTTGAGTTAATACAATACATAAATTTGGTATTACTTTAAAATAATCATTGCAGTAAATTGCTTGCTCTTATTTAATTTTGTCAATGAAAATAATAATTGTTTTGTAAATACAGTACTTTATTTGCTGGTGTTGACATGAAATTAAGAAATTTTAAGACACGTTTCTTAAAAAAAAATTTAGCCATGCAGTCCTGGTATGGGACAGTGTTCAATGTAGACTAACAAGTCTCTCTCATAAGTTTCCAAGTCACTTACATTTCTTACAAGTATTCCTTCCCCTTCAGGCCTTGACGGCAGTGGTAGATGGGCAGCAGCAGCAGAAGCGAGCTCCCTCTGGATTTTTGGGTATGCGTGGCAAGAAGGCTTATTACAGTGAGAACCCCGACGAGGAGATAAGCATGACAGGAGTGGACAAGAGAACACCCTCAGGCTTCCTTGGTATGAGGGGCTGAGGTGAGTTGCCTTTAATATAATTCGTGTTTGTACGGCAAGTTGTAATTCCTTTTTAGTACATTACTGCAATTAAAAAACTATCAAGTGCCACAGTTAAAGTGTTGAAAGCATGTGGTAGAATCAGAGTAGATATATAAATGTACATTATTCAGGTAATGTTTCTTTTGTCATTTTTCATCAGGAGCATTGAACTAGCTACAGTTATCTCCTGATACTCAGAAGGGTTAGGTTCTATAAAATCTTGCTGTACAGTACAGTACAGTACAGTACAGTACAGTACAGTACAGTACAGTATAGTATATTGTATAACCTTGGTTGTCGCGGTTTACACTCCCTGACATTTTAAGAGATAATAATTTTTCTGAGTTGATCTCTGATAATTTCTGCCCTTGGCGAAGCAAAAATTAGCTTTTGGAATGCACTGGTAATAAAATTATCATAAAGAGAACACAAACACAATGAGCGAGTCAGTAGAGGATGTCACTGAAATTTTGTTCTCCCAGATATTTATACAGTACGTATTACTTAAAGTGTTATCATATACTAGTTTTTGCTTCCCCAAGTGTGGAAATTATTAAAGATCAACACAGAAAAGTTAATATCTCTTAAAACATCACTTTATAAATACTGTACGATAGACTAAAACACTAAAGAACTGTAGTGACTATTTGTGTGTCCATCAACCACCCTATCAGCCGCCTTGCTACAAACTGATTCTAGACCTCTGTTCCAAGGTTTAAGTCAACAGACTATAAGAAGACTGCAACTGTTAGGTATTTTATATTAAATTTGCATTCTATGTCAGCTTTCAACAATTCTTTATAGAATAAACACTTGATGGTTGCATGACAATGATGAGCATTGTCTGAACGTACATTAGTCCCTTTAACATAATGCCCTTCATACTTGACAGCAATTTTTAAGTGAGTGTGTCCTTAACAGATAGAGTAAACTTAAGTTTAAGAAACCTCTAATTTGAAGGGATATGCCATGGTTTTTGCTTCATGTCTTTAAATAAATTGTTGTGTATACCATGTAGATGTTCTTATGAATTCAAGTTTAATAATATGAGAGAACATTCTCATGTTTTGGCATCATGACACAAGTTGACAACATACAGAAATAACTGTCTGTGTTGCAGGAGTGAGATGCTCCCTACACTCTGCTCTACCGTGTCTCAAGATCATCCCTAGAGCCGTCATCCCTGCATAACTCAGAAGCACCATTTCCAGTGACCTTCCCAGCCAAGTCAGACACCTTAGTGCAGGACTCTTTTGTCATCACTAGTAGTTACCTCTGACCAGATCTTGGTAGTTCCTCCACAGATAATATTATGTAGCTAAGCAATACTGATATAATAGAAATAAAAGAGAAAATGTTAAACCCCCAAATATTTATAACAAATATTAGTCGTATATACACTCAGCAGGGGGGTGATGACAGCAGCAAGTAGTGCAAGTTCTGTGCAGCTTCTACCATTGACGTCCACATTTGCCCAAAAGTATTCTTATATCCTTGTTCTCTACTTTCTCTAACCTACAGCTTTCTCCATCACTGTAGTCTATCTGTACAGTTGAGTCCAACACACTGTCAAATCTTGTGTAGTGCTCATTTCAGCCTAAGTGATAAGTAGTGTGATAGCTGTACCCCTGTTAGAGGTGTTGGAGGCTGGGGGACGTAGTGCAGAGGTTCAGATACCACAGCACCATGTAAAACCCTTCTCATTTACCCTTCTCTTATTCCGTTTCCCTTGGCTGGTTTTCTCTCTCAATAGAATATGAACCTTACTGTCTGTACATCATTATAATCTTGTAAATTATAGAGAAATTAATTTGTAAATTAATATATGGATGAAGGTAAAATTTGCCATCATATAACATATCATTTCTGGTGTAATTGACCAGGTCCTTGCATCAAGTGGTCATGACACTCGTAATAGTGTTACTGCTTATGATGCAACTTGTGACATTATTTGGTCACTGCTGAGTGATTTTGACTCTCCCAGTTGCCTTGCTTGACATTACAGTTTTGTTAATTAAATTTTGATTGTTTAAAAGTGTCAGTGATTAGCAATAATTACAGTGAAATGCCATTAATGGCATGGAATTTTTTGACAGCCATATTTTATTAATTTGTAGTAGTTTGTATCATTTAGGCAATGAAAGTAGGACCTTCTAAAATATATAGATCCCATTTATTTTCAAAATAAGATGGAGTTAGCACTGGTTCACAACCATAGAGGCAACTGTGGAAGGTCAAGACGAGGTGTCTCCTCCACTAAAGTCGAAAGATACCAAAATATTCTGTAATTGCATTACTCTAATTGCAATAAAAGACAATCCTCGTAGTTCTTTGTGGTTTTATTTATAATGCATTTACACTATCCTGTCCTGTTAGCTGTGACGGCACCGAGTGTGAGCTGTTTCAAGACCATACTTGACCGGAGCGGGTTCAGATGCATTCAGGGGCCAGTGCATGCCCAGTACTTGCCAACAGTGTATAAAACTGACGTGTCTGATCCCCCCATGAGGCTAACGAGCTGATCAGTGGCGAAGAAGATAAAAGTAAAAGTTTAACCATCTGATTTTCAGGGCAGCTTAGGGAAGTCCAAGAAAGGACAGGCTAGGGAAAGGTAAGGCAAGCTTGGTGAAGGAATACAGTAGTAAAAGCTCAGCCATTATGGGGTAAGGTAGAGTACTGTACGGGTGCATCTATTTTGGGGGTAAAGTTGAGCTATTTTTAGCTAAGGTATTGTAAGTCAGAATATACTAAGGTCTAGTCAACCTGATTATGGTAAGACAAGCCTGGTTTGCATAAGGTACGACATAATAAGCTTTAAACTAAAATTAAGTACAGTAGAGCAAGCGTGGCAGTAATGAGTTTTAGGGTGGGCAAGCTGCATGTTTGGTTGTGGTGAAGTAAAGGAAGTTAAATTAGGCAAGACTACCAAGGGGTAATGTGGAGCAAGGTAAGTTAGGCTAGAGTAAGGAGCTCACCAAACTTTGGGTAAAATAGCAAATAGGGAAAAGTAGGCTAAAGTCACAAAAGGCAAGGCATGAGAAGTTTAGATAGAGGTATGTTAGCTGAGGCAAGGAAGGCAAAAATTTGAGTAGGACTTGGCCAACCCTGTAAAATTTTTGTAGTATCAGGCTCATGCTACTCAAATTTGTTAGTCCTGCCAAGTTAGGGTTGTCACAGTCCAAAGAAAACATTGGTGAAGAAATGTATCCATGGAAAAGTCAAGGAATTTTGTTTGAGGTCATGGAAAGTAGACTTTGTGAAGAGTCCGAGAAAACATAAATATCAAGAATATTGATTTCTTAGTAAGAAAGGCTGAATACGAATCAAAAATCAAGATTGTGATATGCTATATTGACTAAACAATAAAAGCCTCTCACAGGTACAACAGAAGTTCCCTGAGCAGATTTAGACACAGGAATTCTCGGTACAGTATATGGAAAGTGGGAAGCTGGTTCTGATTATATCCCATTGCCAAGTGTGGAGCTGAACACGAATGTCTTCACCTATAAACAAGGCAGAAGATATATATTCTGGACACATTTAGAGCAGTACATGATATGGTAATACCAATGAGATAAATACAGTTCTGTTAATTGCCATATGAAAGTGAATTTTTCCAAGCATAATATATGTCACCACTAATAAAGATTAAACGTTGAATAAATACACACAGCCATCACATTTCCAATATCATCGCATTCTGAAGAAGGGAACGGGGAATAAAATCCAACAGGAAAACATAAGTTGAGGTGTTGTGCTGACTGACTGTTCTCTTCTCCTATTGGCTGTAATTTGGCGGGCTAAAGGAATACTCCACCAATCACAGATCAGTAAGGAACTGCTGGAAGTATGTAATATACGGTATATGAAACAATGAACAACCATGCCATAGGTTCCCTTGGGACCTTTGGGAGGGTCCCTGGGGGTGCATCCCCCAAGGAGGGTCCCTGCGGCGCCGCCGTCCGTAGGAGGGTCCTTGGGGGCGCTGCAGGGGCACTGCGAGAGTCCCTGGAGGAGCCGCTGTCGCTGGGAGTGTCCATGCGAGCGCCACTGCTTGTGGGAGGGTTCCTAGGGACACCGCCGCCCTTGAAAGGGCATCTAGGAACACCACCATCCCTGGGATGCTTCCTGGGGGTGCCGTTACCCCTGTGAGGGTCCCTTGGGCGTCGCCGTCCAACAGAGGGCCTCTGAGAGCGCGAGCTCTGTAGGGCCCCTGAGTAAAGTAGTTTTTGCACTATTTGGAACTCCGGGAGATGCTGAGTTAAATAAACACACACACAGCCCATCACATTTCCAATATCATCGCATTCTGAAGAAGGTAACGGGGAATAAAATCCAACAGGAAAACATAAGTTGAGGTGTTGTGCTGACTGACTGTTCTCTTCTCCTATTGGCTGTAATTTGGCGGGCTAAAAGAATAGTCCACCAATCATAGATCAGTAAGGAACTGCTGGAAGTATGTAATATACGGTATATGAAACAATGAACAACCATGCCATAGGGTCCCTTGGGAACTTTGGGAGAGTCCCTGGGGGTGCATCCCCCAAGGAGGGTCCCTGCGGCGCCGCCGTCCGTAGGAGGGTCCTTGGGGGCGCTGCAGGGGCACTGCAAGATTCCCTGGAGGAGCCGCTATCGCTGGGAGTGTCCATGCGGGCGCCACTGCTTGTGGGAGGGTTCCTAGGGACACCGCCACCCCTGAAAGGGCATCTAGGAACACCACCACCCCTGGGATGCTTCCTGGGGGTGCCGTTTCCCCTGTGAGGGTCCCTTGGGCGTCGCCGTCCAACAGAGGGCCTCTGAGAGCGCGAGCTCTGTAGGGCCCCTGAGTAAAGTAGTTTTTGCACTATTTGGAACTCCGGGAGATGCTGAGTTAAATATACATACAGCCCATCACAATTCTAGTATCATCGCATTCTGAAGAAGGTAACGGGGAATAATATCCAACAGGAAAACATAAGTTGAGGTGTTGTGCTGACTGACTGTTCTCTTCTCCTATTGGCTGTAATTTGGCGGGCTAAAGGAATACTCCACCAATCATAGATCAGTAAGGAACTGCTGGAGGTATGTAATATACTGAATATGAAACAACGAAAAACCATGTCATAGGTTCCCTTGGGACCCATAGTAGGGTTCCTGGAGGGGCTCCGCCCCAAGGAGTGTCCCTGGGGGTGCCACCGCACCTATAAGGTTCTCTAAGGCGCCACCGTCCCTGAGAGGGCCTCTGAGAGCGCGAGCTCTGTAGGGCCCCTGAGTGCAGTAGTTTTTGCACAATTTGGAACTCCGGGAGATGCTGAGTTAAATAAACACACACACAGCCATCACATTTCCAATATCATCGCATTCTGAAGAAGGTAACGGGGAATAAAATCCAACAGGAAAACATAAGTTGAGGTGTTGTGCTGACTGACTCTTCTCTTCTCCTATTGGCTGTAATTTGGCGGGCTAAAAGAATAGTCCACCAATCATAGTTCAGTAAGGGACTGTTGGAAGTATGTAATATATATGAAACATTGAACAACAATGTCATAGGGTTCCTGGGGGCGTTGCCGTCCGTGGAAGGGTCCTTGGGGACGCTGCCGCCCCTGAGTGGGTCCCTGGGAGCGCCACCATCCCTGGGATGGTTCCTGGGGGCGCAGCTGCCTCTGTGGGGGTCTCTGGGGTCCTGCCGTCCCTAAGAGGGCCTCCGGGAGTACAAGACCTATAGGGCCCCTGGGTGCAGTAATTATTGCACTATTTGCAACTCCGGGAGATGTTGAGTTATACAAACACACACACAGCCCATCACAATTCCAGTATCAACGCATTCTGAAGAAGGTAACGAGGAATAATATCCAACAGGAAAACATAAGTTGAGGTGTTGTGCTGACTGACTGTTCTCTTCTCCTATTGGCTGTAATTTGGCGGGCTAAAAGAATAGTCCACCAATCATAGATCAGTAAGGAACTGCTGGAAGTATGTAATATACTGAATATGAAACAACGAAAAACCATGTCATAGGTTCCCTTGGGACCCATAGTAGGGTTCCTGGAGGGGCTCCGCCCCAAGGAGTGTCCCTGGGGGTGCCACCGCACCTGTAAGGTTCTCTAAGGCGCCACCGTCCCTGAGAGGGCCTCTGAGAGCGCGAGCTCTGTAGGGCCCCTGAGTGCAGTAGTTTTTGCACTATTTGGAACTCCGGGAGATGCTGAGTTAAATAAACACACACACAGCCCATCACATTTCCAATATCATCGCATTCTGAAGAAGGTAACGGGGAATAGAATCCAACAGGAAAACATAAGTTGAGGTGTTGTGCTGACTGACTGTTCTCTTCTCCTATTGGCTGTAATTTGGCGGGCTAAAAGAATAGTCCACCAATCATAGTTCAGTAAGGGACTGTTGGAAGTATGTAATATATATGAAACATTGAACAACAATGTCATAGGGTTCCTGGGGGCGTTGCCGTCCGTGGAAGGGTCCTTGGGGACGCTGCCGCCCCTGAGTGGGTCCCTGGGAGCGCCACCATCCCTGGGATGGTTCCTGGGGGCGCAGCTGCCTCTGTGGGGGTCTCTGGGGTCCTGCCGTCCCTAAGAGGGCCTCCGGGAGTACAAGACCTATAGGGCCCCTGGGTGCAGTAATTATTGCACTATTTGCAACTCCGGGAGATGTTGAGTTAAACAAACACACACACAGCCCATCACAATTCCAGTATCAACGCATTCTGAAGAAGGTAACGAGGAATAATATCCAACAGGAAAACATAAGTTGAGGTGTTGTGCTGACTGACTGTTCTCTTCTCCTATTGGCTGTAATTTGGCGGGCTAAAAGAATAGTCCACCAATCATAGATCAGTAAGGAACTGCTGGAAGTATGTAATATACTGAATATGAAACAACGAAAAACCATGTCATAGGTTCCCTTGGGACCCATAGTAGGGTTCCTGGAGGGGCTCCGCCCCAAGGAGTGTCCCTGGGGGTGCCACCGCACCTGTAAGGTTCTCTAAGGCGCCACCGTCCCTGAGAGGGCCTCTGAGAGCGCGAGCTCTGTAGGGCCCCTGAGTGCAGTAGTTTTTGCACTATTTGGAACTCCGGGAGATGCTGAGTTAAATAAACACACACACAGCCCATCACATTTCCAATATCATCGCATTCTGAAGAAGGTAACGGGGAATAGAATCCAACAGGAAAACATAAGTTGAGGTGTTGTGCTGACTGACTGTTCTCTTCTCCTATTGGCTGTAATTTGGCGGGCTAAAAGAATAGTCCACCAATCATAGTTCAGTAAGGGACTGTTGGAAGTATGTAATATATATGAAACATTGAACAACAATGTCATAGGGTTCCTGGGGGCGTTGCCGTCCGTGGAAGGGTCCTTGGGGACGCTGCCGCCCCTGAGTGGGTCCCTGGGAGCGCCACCATCCCTGGAATGGTTCCTGGGGGCGCAGCTGCCTCTGTGGGGGTCTCTGGGGTCCTGCCGTCCCTAAGAGGGCCTCCGGGAGTACAAGACCTATAGGGCCCCTGGGTGCAGTAATTATTGCACTATTTGCAACTCCGGGAGATGTTGAGTTATACAAACACACACACAGCCCATCACAATTCCAGTATCAACGCATTCTGAAGAAGGTAACGAGGAATAATATCCAACAGGAAAACATAAGTTGAGGTGTTGTGCTGACTGACTGTTCTCTTCTCCTATTGGCTGTAATTTGGCGGGCTAAAAGAATAGTCCACCAATCATAGATCAGTAAGGAACTGCTGGAAGTATGTAATATACTGAATATGAAACAACGAAAAACCATGTCATAGGTTCCCTTGGGACCCATAGTAGGGTTCCTGGAGGGGCTCTGCCCCAAGGAGTGTCCCTGGGGGTGCCACCGCACCTGTAAGGTTCTCTGAGGCGCCACCGTCCCTGAGAGGGCCTCTGAGAGTGCGAGCCCTATACGGCACCTGAGTGCAGTAGTTTTTGCACTGTTTGGAACTCCGGGAGATGCTGAGTTAAATAAACATACAGCCCATCACAATTCTAGTATCATGGCATTCTGAAAAAGGTAACGGGGAATAATATCCAACAGGAAAACATAAGTTGAGGTGTTGTGCTGACTGACTGTTCTCTTCTCCTATTGGCTGTAATTTGGCGGGCTAAAAGAATAGTCCACCAATCACAGATCAGTAAGGAACTGCTGTAATTATGTAATACACTGTATATGAAACAACGAACAACCATGTAATAGGTTTCCTTGGGACTCATAGTAGGGTCCCTGGAGGGGCTCCGCCCCAAGGAGTGTCCCTGGGGGTGCCGCCGTTTGTGGGAGGGTCCTTGGGGGCGCCGCCGCCCCTGGGAGGGGCACTGTAAGAGTCCCTGGGGGCGTCGCTGTCCCTAAGAATGTCCTTGGAGACGCCGCCGTCCATGAGTGAGCTCCTGGGAACGCCCTTACCCCTGGGATGGTTCCTGGGGGCACCGCTGTCCCTGGGAGTGTCCATGGATCTCCGATGCCCACTGGGAAAGACCCTGGACGTGCTGCCGCCCCCGGGAGTGTCCCTGGGTGATCCCTGGGGATATCACCATCCCTAGAAGTGTAATTTGGGGCTCCACCGTCCCTGAGAGGGGCTTTAAATGCCCTGCTACCCCTAGAAGGGTCTCTGTGGTCGCCGCCGATCCTGGGAGGGTCCCTGGGCGTGTCGCCACCCCTGGGAGGGTGCCTGGAGGCACCCCCTTCTCTGGCAGGGTCCTTGGTAGCACTGCCGTCCCTGGGAGGGCCCATGGAGGCACCACCGCCCTGAGAAGGTCCCTGGGGAACTCACCGCCTCTGAAAGGGTCCCTAGGGACGCCACCATCCCTGGGAGGACCTCTAGGGAAACTGTCGACCCTGAGAGAGCCCCTGGAGGCACCGCCACCCTTAGGAAGGTCGATGGGGGCGCCACTGCACCTGTGAGGTTCTCTAAGGCGCCGCCGTCCCTGAGAGGGCCTCTGAGAGTGCGAGTCCTGTAGGGCCCCTGAGTGCAGTAGTTTTTGCACTATTTGGAACTCCGGGAGATGCTGAGTTAAATAAGCACACAGCCCATCACAATTCCAGTATCAACGCATTCTGAAGAAGGTAATGGGGAATAATATCCAACAGGAAAACATAAGTTGAGGTGTTGTGCTGACTGACTGTTCTCTTCTCCTATTGGCTGTAATTTGGCGGGTTAGAAGAATTGTCCACCAATCATAGTTCAGGAAGAGACTGCTGTTAGTATGTAATATACTGTATATGAAACAACGAACAACGATGTCATAGGGCCCCTGGAGACCCTTGGTAGGGTCCCCTGGGGGGGGGGGGGGGCGCCGCTGTCCCTGAGGCTGGAAAGGGCCCTGGGGTTGCCACTGCCCCTGGGAGGGTCCCAGGAGGCACCGCCGTCCCTGGGAGGGATCTTGGGGACTACGCCGCACCTGGGAAGGTCCCTGGAGGCGCCACCACGTTACGTTCTGTTGGCACTGCGGGTATGTACTAGCTCTCTAGGGGTACTTAACTTACCTCTTAAAGTCGCTGCCACCAGACCCCTAGGCAGTATGTGTAGTGTTCTTTGGGTAGCTGGCACAGCAATCCAGGAACTGTGAGTTCGTGTTTTTCATTAATCTAGTTGAGAGTGGAAATAAGAGTGAAACACTAACCAAGAATTTACCTACTTTATTTCTTAATTTATAAAAAAAATATTGCATTGTCATAAAACAAAAATAGTTGACCTTCCCAAAATTATTACGGTCATTGCAACACACAAAAATACCCGACCTTTTCCGAACAATTAAGGTGTTCTCTCTCCATACAAAATCATTGACCTCCATACCCAAGTCACCCTAAAATACTCAATAGCACCAAAGTACCCACTATCACCTCACAATCAGGAACATTCAATAATACGCACAATACTTCAGGTATTGCAGCTCATTCCTAGCACCAAAGATACACACAGTAGGTACCCGTCTCACACACTACTCTTGTTAGTAGAGGAGATCCTTCCCAACCATTCATCCCAGGACTGTTTCTGTGTCCGGTATCCTTAGGTCGCTTAAAGTGGCGACCGTGAGCACCCAAATAGCACCATCATTTCTTCACATCCTGCGTGTTGAAGCGTGAGATGTCCAGAGACCCATAGTGGAGGTTGCATAGTGGCCATAAGCATTACCCACAACACCAGGTGGGCCCCCAAAGTAGAGCAGTGGTTGCTGGGCCAAGCATTCTCTCCGACCTCACTGGTGTACACCTGCATGTATGAGATGCTGATCATCAGTGTGTGTATACAAATGTGTTAACTGGCCTGATGGGCTTTTGTATTAACAAACATCATTACAAAACCTATTAACTTATTATATTAACAATAACATTAGGCAAAGCTTTAAGATGTACATAAAATGCTAGACACGCCTCTTTAAGTACTCTGAAGTAGCACCAGCTGTAGCGTACTGAGCTGCGTGTATGAGATGCCGAGCGTCACTGAGGACGATGCACGTGCAACACACTGAATAGGCCTAAGGGTGCCAATGCTTAAATCTTCACCTTGTCTTTATTCTGGCCCCCACACATACAGTACACTTTCTTATATATTGTGACTTTATGCCTTCTAGTTACATACCTTAGTTCAAAATTACATACTACATTAGTGTCTGGGTCATTAGATTTCGGCAAATTACTTCGGTCATCTCACTACCTTGAAACTGTAGCCACGGGCAGTTTAGGCGCCAGGCATACAAAGGCCTTAATTGTTTAACACGTTCATAAGATTCTCAAATCAATACACTGTTAGTGGTTATTCGTCACATGGGGAAATGATGTGTATTAAGCTCACACAAGAGGTATACAAGATGTTTTCCTTGGAGTACGGTTTATAGAGCAATCCCAACACTTCACATATGTCTGATACATTTATCATTTTCCCAGATCATTGTTCTTATATATTTTCACCTGATACTTGAGGTAGCTATGTTTACTAATCGTACCAAAACGTAAATACTATAACCTTCAGACACGGTCACATTTATTCACTATAGTACACTAGTTCGAATCAATTAGGCCTTCCCAATCATCATATAGATACCTTGAGTTCTCCCTTAATAATATCAGTATACATATTTAAGGTTATATGCACGGACATTGGTATAATTCGTATAAAACAACATACAGCATATGAAGTACCCCTTCCAAATGTCTACCGTTTTCTGTGATATTCTCTACTAGCGCGGTGAGTTTGAATGTTATGCAGCTGTAATATGAATCAAGATTTTATTGAGACCAATACTAATGTACACAGTACAACAGCTCTCCCTCCCCACCTCCCAAAGATTCAAATTATGCGGTAGTGTCGATAAAACATTTACAGTAATTACACAGACTCTTCAAATAACTGTTACTCTTGGTTACTGGTTCACAATACAGCTACCTACAAACATAACAATAACACCAAAATATTTATGACAAAATTAGTACTAAAACAATAAACACAATGGATACAGTACACATGGAATAAAATTCAGTCTTCAAAATAACTGATACACATTGCTTAGTATACATATTCTCTATTATCAGCTGAAAACAATGAAAAGAAAACACACACACACACACACAAAATAAATGCACAAATAAAATTCAAAATTTGGGGGTTACATGGATAAACAAATTAAATAAAAACATTTTTGTTACAGAATACATACAATGAAATTTCTCACATCAATAAAGTTTTCATTATGGCAATTGATCAAAGGCTTATTGGACTCCACGAAATTCAACACAGACTTATCAAGCTAGGAATAGATGAACGGACCCCATCCAGTCGGTGGAAAGACTTGTTCAAACTTATTATGAAAGGTACAGGTCACACTCGCGAGACGTAGCAAGTTCCAGGGATGCCGAGTTAACGGGTGTATCCCAAGATATAGATGCAAAACAAAATTTAGCCACGGACTTTGTTACTCTTGTCATCAGCCATTTAAGTGGTATCAATGCCGTGTTTCCATGCCTGGTCTTACTGAAAAACCACAAACACTCCACCTATCCAACAACAAGCCTAGCTAGGACTCTACATACAAAAATTTAAAGTCACGCATGGTATCTTACTTCCTTGAGTAACAGAACCCCATCAGATGATCACAACCTTGTGCCGATCCTCCTTCCAATCTCTATGTCCTTACTTCACTTTGACAATACCCTCTCAAAAATACTCTCCACAACTCGCATAATTTACATCTTATTAGGGCCATCAACACACTCACTGCCCAACATTCAACAACTCACAGGAGCCCAACAGCACACTTATTTTCCACCAATTCATATCTTTAAATTAAAAAACACAAATACACAAAAAATTACACATCCCCATTTTACATCAACAACCAAGAAAGACAGTCTATGTGTAGTGAAGTGAAAGAGTTATATATTAGTTACTCCTGTAATTACAAGAGAAAATTTGAATTTCTTTAGTTTGTGCATTATTATTATTACTTATTATTATCCTATTGTACTTCCGAGTGTTATATATTTGTTTTGGGGGGAAAAAGCATCGTGACGTCCAGGGGATTGAGGTGTTTCTCTGTTTATTTTCCTATTACTGGTTTGTCAGGTGATTCAATCCATGTTTGTACTGTTTCAGAGTAACCTTAAGTATTAAGGGCTTTATGTGAAGGATGGAATGATTAACTATCTAATCTTCCATGAAGATACGAGATATGTTCCTAAGTTTTCAGGGCTAGAGAACTTTTGTTGTGTAATACATACTTATGGTTTTGTTTGTTGGTAGATACTGTACTCACCCCCTGGGTGACTTAACAGGGATTACATTAATGAAGAAATAAAGGAAATGTGACTTGAGCGACCTTTCTCTTAACATTGTCTTAGTTACTGTGACCAGGTTAACTTCCCCGGGCTACATAGGCATATACAATATGCAGTATACTTTTAAAAATTTGTCTGCAGTACTAATGTTCCTGCCTCTCACTAACTAATATGAGGGGCATTCCCTACTCTCCTGTCCATCTACTTCACCCTCCTGTCCACCAGGTCCCTTTTCTGATGAAACAAACTGTGGTGAGACCTCGGTGTCAATCCTTCCAATGAACACATCTCCACCCACACTTCTTAATTCTAAACATCGTCAAGACGGACGTTGGTTCTGAGCAGTCCGCCCTCACGTGCTCTCGTGTGACGGCCATCATGTTGTTAAGTCACACCAACACTCAACTAATCTTCACATTGAACATTACAATTTTAACATCCAAAATTACTCAAAATAATATTCAAATGATTAATCACAAGAATAAATGATTATACTAAACGACAATGTCCCCAGGAAATTTGCTCTAATGCTTCATGAGTGATTATTACAGAAGAAAATTCTCTGTACTCCACAAATACTTACTCTCCCTTTTTCAATTATAATGCACAATTATAACTCATAAATGTTCAGCACTATCAACATGCAATTTATGAATGTAAAACTTTTATGTACTTCTTAATTCACACGGTATTCATAATTGGGGGTCCATACTAGCATTGTAATCCACAATCAATTTTCGTAGAATGCACTCACTAGGCCTCTGCATCACCATGAAGTCTTCAAACACAACCGATGCATTGCTGAAAGTATACCCCGCATTAAATTTCAAATTACACACAGTACATCACAATTACTGACAATGTAGGTACTGTAGTTTAAACTTCAAGTTCTAATACACTACTCTCCATTAAAATCATTAGCTCAAAACAAAAAACAACAACACTGGAAAATGTGACACTAAAATTGTGTAAAAAAAACCAAATCAATAGTCATAAAAATGTATAGCACTGATAACTTGAACACTACGTATCTAATTATTAAAAATCACCCAATAAATGTTAGAAATACAAAGAAAATGTTACATAACCTGTATACAACACTTCTGGTGATAGATCAGGAGTGAACCTCTTCACACAAACCCTAGTGGCTCAATAGGTACGCACTTGCCATACACAATATCTGTAAATAACAATAGCATTAACACAGGAGTACACAAAAGAAAGATTACACTGGCAATAATATAATATTTCATTCAAGTACCATATAAACTTTCTGTAATTTCAAACAAATATTTTCTCAAGGAGAAATTAGTTAGGTAGCTTTTGCTTAAAATGCAAAAAATACTAATACAGTGATATCCCCGTTAGCCGGAACCAATTGGTGCAGAGCACTTCTGGGAATGAGAGATTTCCGGCTAACGAGAAGCCGGAAAAAATATCCTTCATCCCAGGAATTTTCCGGAATTTTCCAGGTAACGGAAAAATGTTCTCTGAAGTTCCAGAAATTGCCCATTACATCATATCTCGAACCCGTAATAATATCCCTCATCCCCGGAATTTTCCAGGTAACGGAAAAATTTTCTCGGAAGTTCCAGAAATGCGCCTGATTTTCATTTCTCAAACCTGGAAAAAACTCCCCCGTCCCAGGAAACGGGAAAATATTCCAGAAAATGTGCCCCTCGGAAAATCGTTCCCAAAGCCTGAATTTTCCGGAAAATTTCGCCTTTGGGAAAGACTTTCCGATAAAATTTCGATTCCGGCTATCGGAGAGTTCTGGGTTTGAGGGATTCCGGCTAAGGGAGATATTACTGTACTGCTTTCTCACAACTTATGAAATTTAGTACTATGGGTTTACATAAATTCGTAGGGCTAATCCTTATAATCTAATCACTGTTTAAACTTGAAGTGCGTCAATTAAATTGGCCACAAATACTCATTTTGGCATACCCATTTCCTGTGAAGTCAGTGTTTAAGACATGGAGTGATTTACTCTTGGCCGCTAGACTTCAGGGCTGGAGGCTTTGACAAGTTCTGATCAATGATTAATGAGTTTCTTTAATACAAAAAATGGCATCACTTCAATAAGGTGATCAGATTTTCTGGTGGCTGTGAATCAAATGCATATAACTTCAGATGTGAATGGATATCTCACAACTTCAAAGGAGCCAAAAACAGTTACATGTAGTATAAATTTGGCTGGGCAATCACATACAACATCAGAGTACAATTTTCACTATACTTAAATATAGTAGTTGAAGCCTTCAACATATACATACTGAATCTTGAATGCTTCTGCTACTGGTGGGTAATCACTTACTGCTACTCATAATGCTGCATCATAATTTTAATTTACAATACAGGGAAAGACTACAAGAATATACAGAGAATGGACAGTACCTTTCAATACAAAAAACAAATCCCTCTCTAGGGGTAACTCCCTCATTTGGCAAGCGTTTTATAGACGACGGACCATAATATGAATGTGTCGGTGTTAATATATTATCAGAGCAACTGTGCCTATGAGACAGGGAGGCATTGTACTCGTGTCCACATTCTTGGAAGATTTTACAATATCATCTGTGCCACATCTTTCTCTTAACATGAAGTATCGTACATCTCATGAATCTCAACTCATTAAAGAACAAGTACAAATTTAGGCATTCTCTCCAGTGTTTTAATTGGAGTTGGCGGATGCCTGTCCCACTTGAGGTCACAACTTAAGGCTGGAGAAGCCACAAGTTCATAAAATTTTCAGGACAAACTTTTTCGGGGTGAAAGTTGTGAACTCTGGAATAATCGGCCAGAGAGCATTGTGACGGCACAGATACATTCTAGAGCCAACAGTGTGTAACAGTGAGATGACTCACCATCCAAGCAGCTAGAAGTTCTATCAATGGCAATGAGGATAAAGTAACACAGGATACCAGTTAATGGTTCTTCAGTCCAAGGTTTTCTTGACTAGTCACCCCTTTCTCTCAAGCATCTTCGTTTTCTTAGACAAAATATTTGAAGAAAACGTAATTTCCGTTTGCTGAGTGACCGTGAAAACAAATTTCCTACATATAATACTGTAATACTGTGTTATTATAATATATCAGTGCAGACAATGTACTATAAAACCGAGCTGTAACGAAATCTTTTTATTTATAATCCCTATACTGGATATGTTAATGCCAAGATTCATTTAAATGCTGTTTAAGAAGCTAGGATACGTTAATAACTTCGGTTTGGCTATTAGACAAGGTAAGTTCCCGAGGACTTTACAAAATACAAAGTACTACACTTATAAATGCCTCTATTCAATCACTAAAACGCTTTTATTTACAATGTCCACCTTAAATTGCGAGTACATCTCACCACCGTGTCCTGCATTCAATCTCCGGCCTGAGAAAGAGGTGAGAACGGTGTTATCCAATGACTCCACCAAACGTTGCAGGTTTTCTCCAGGTACCCTAATTTCCTCCTGTACTAACACTGGGTAATAAAGGTCGTTACAAAGAACAAGATAACTGCTCGATTGGCTAATAAGCTGATATATTAAAAAAATAAATAAACAGTAGTGATATTTGGAATCCACAACATGAATCAGGTAAAACACACACACACACACGCGCACACGCACACGCGCACACACACACACACACACACACACACACACACTCTATTACTGTTCCGGATCTACAATAACTTCCTCATTGAAAACTCCAGCACAAAACATGTTCTAAATATCATTCGAAAAAGAAGGATAACAGAAAATATGAGAAGACCACAACGAGAGAGAGAGAGAGAGAGACTTGAGTGGGTGAGGTTGACGACCTCCACCACGTGGCCACAACACCTGTACCAGGCTGGTTGAGTGGCAGCGTGTTCCCAGCCTTTACTCGAACACCTCTCGTTTCTAATTTGTCATTCTGCCTGCCTGCGTGCCTGTCATCCTGTCTGTCTGTCATCCTGTCTGTCTGCGTGCCTGTCATCCTGTCTGTCTGTCATCCTGTCTGCCTGCGTGCCTGTCATCCTGTCTGCCTGTCATCCTGCCTGCCTACGTGCCTGTCATTCTGTCTACCTGCGTACCTGTCATCCTGTCTGTCTGTCATCCTGTCTGCCTGCGTGCCTGTCATTCTTCCTGCCTGCATGCCTGTCATTCTGTCTGCCTGCGTGCCTGTCATCCTGTCTGCCTGCGTGCCTGTCATGTCATCCTGTCTGCGTGCCTGTCATTCTTCCGTCTGCATGCCTGTCATCCTGTCTGCCTACGTGCCTGTCATTCTGTCTACCTGCGTGCCTGTCTGTCTACCTGCGTGCCTGTCATCCTGTCTGTTTGCGTGCCTGTCATCCTGTCTGCCTGCATGCCTGCCATCCTGTCTGCCTGCGTGCCTGTCATTCTTCCTGTCTCGCATGCCTGTCATCCTGTCTGCCTGCGTGCCTGTCATCCCTGTCATCCTGTCTGCCTGCGTGCCTGTCATTCTTCCTGTCTGCATGCCTGTCATCCTGTCTGCCTGCATGCCTGTCATTCTGTCTGCCTGCGTGCCTGTCATTCTGTCTGCCTGCGTGCCTGTCATTCTTCCCTGTCTGCATGCCCGTCATCCTGTCTGCCTGTGTGCTTGTCATCCTGTCTGCCTGTGTGCCTGTCATTCTGTCTGCCTGCGTGCCTGTCATTCTTCCTGTCTGCATGCCTGTCATCCTGTCTGCCTGTGTGCTTGTCATCCTGTCTGCCTGCATGCCTGTCATTCTGTCTGCCTGCGTGCCTGTCATTCTTCCTGCCTGCATGCCTGTCATTCTGTCTGCCTGCGTGCCTGTCATTCTTCCTGCCTGCATGCTTGTCATTCTGTCTGCCTGCGTGCCTGTCATTCTTCCTGCCTGCATGCCTGTCATCCTGTCTGCCTGTCATCCTGTCTACCTGCGTGCTTGTCACTCTGCTGCTGCTGCCTCTTGTCTAAAGGCTAGTCAGATTTGTTGGCTCTGCTCTTTGCATACCTGTCAGCTAAGCCCTTCCTGTCTATACCGGTCGACTGTATATGCTAATTTTCTGTCCTCTTGTCTGCTTGTGTCTGCCGGAGTTACTCATACACCACGAGCTAGCTAGACAGACAGACAGACAGACAGACAGATGATGAGCTATGAACCAAGTCCTTATTTCCGTAAAGCTTAGAGACAGACAGACAGACAGACAGACAGACAGACAGACAGACAGACAGACACCCCTAAACTAAATTCTTAAAAGATAATCAAGATCAAATTCTCAAACATTCTAACGACAAAAAATAATATCTTCCCGTAAGACCACACAAGCAACACGACATGACAAAGAGTGGTAATAAAGATGGCGTCGAAATGGCACCAATACTCTACCATAATAACGTGATCTATTCTCGGTTCTGAGCGCCTAGGGGAACTTAAGAATTTGGTTGGGTTAGGTTAGGTTCATCAGGGGTCAGGAGGTTCACCAGGCTTATCAGGAATGGGGTCAAGAGGTTCACCAGGCTTATCAGGAATGGGGTCAAGAGGTTCACCAGGCTTATCAGGAATGGGGTCAAGAGGTTCACCAGGCTTATCAGGAATGGGGTCAAGAGGTTCACCAGGCTTATCAGGAATGGGGTCAAGAGGTTCACCAGGCTTATCAGGAATGGGGTCAAGAGGTTCACCAGGCTTATCAGGAATGGGGTCAAGAGGTTCACCAGGCTTATCAGGAATGGGCTCAGGAATGCAAGGAGGAAGAGGAAGGAGAGGGGGAAGAGGAGGAGAAAGAAGAGGAAGAGGGGGAGAAAGAAGAGGAGGAGAAAGAAGGGGAAGAGGAGGAGAAAAAAGAGGAAGAGGAAGAGAAAGAAGAGGAAGAGGAGGAAGAAGACGAAGAGGAGAAAGAACAGGTCACCAAGTCCACAAGAGGTCATTCCCCAACGCCTGCCTTTTACATCCCCATCAACGTGTGAAAATTCTCCAGTGTTTTCTTTCTTCTCTGACTCTCGGTAACTCAGATAAGCTCGCCCCGTTCCGCCTCTCCCATCTGTAATAATGAAGAAGATGATGATGCAATGTTAAGTGAGATTGTGAGGGGAGGGTAAATTCTGTTCCAGTTATTTGAAGGAAGGGAGGGAGAGTGTGAGGATGGTGGAGGAGGGAAAGGGGGGAGGGAGGGAGGGAGGAAGAAAGGGAGAAAAGAAGGAAAAGTAAGGAAGGGTGAGAGAGAGAAATATGCGTGCATCTAAGGGAGTTGACTTATTATAAGGAACTGGCGTGCGTACTTTGCGTGCATGAGTGGGGGTTAATGCATCCTTTAGGTAATAATAAGCGTATGTCGATGTT